TACCTACTACACTGCAATTGAACAGAGCTTTGATGTAGAGTGCAATTCAATCCTCAGCCCTCAACAGCCTGGAAATTCCATGACAGCACAGACAGCTTTAACTCTACAGCTCAGTTGGTGCCTGGCACTTCTAAGAGTATTTGTTGAGTGAAGGATTGAAGAAATGAATGGATACACTGAAGGAAATTTTTGAAAAAAAGGATTCCCAAATTATGGGTACAATGTAGTCAGATGTAGTGAGTCAGTATTTCTGTACTCTCTTCTGTAAAATACAGTGTTGTTAAAAGTTAAAATGGCAACCAAGTGGGACTTTGTGATGTCATAATTCCTTTGAAGGTATTGGCTTGATGCTTTGTGTTACAAAGGTCTGTGAGGAGCTTCCCTTCCTCTCACACCTCCTCCCCTGCAAATCCCAATTCCTCAACTGTCTGTTCTCCCTCTCTCAATGTTTTCATTTATTAGAATGATAACTAGCATTAAATTTTATAGTAATGTGTCTTAATGAAGTCAGGGGGGAACTGGTTTGAAAGTGGTTTACTTCAAGTCAGCATTAGAAAGCTTCTTTAAATTAACTTTTTACTTTCCTCTAAAGGGACTTAAAATTCATTACATAAAGAATACGAATATATTTTGCTCCATTTAACAAGTTAGATTGAAAAGTCTCTTCAAGAGTAGAGTGAGTTGTATATGAAAATGTATCAACAATACTCAGGGATGAAGGAATTTGACTTATGAAATATCCTATGATAGGAAAATGATGGTGTCCTTTAAGAAAAAAAAAAGATATGGCATATTGTCACAGTTACTAGAGCAGCAATGGTCTTGTATTCTTAGAATTCCAATCGATATAACTGCTAATTTTAGGAGACAGGAAATTTAACAAATATAATTTAATTCCTACCTTGAAGCCCTACCAGAAGTGAATTATTGTGAGATAATTTCTTCAAACCATTAACCAGTGTGGAACCAGAAATCAGTGATTTGTTTTACTTTAAATTTCTTTTTGTAATGCATAATATCAGAAAATTGTAAATGTGTGTAATTATATACTACTAGGTAAATTCTGTTCAAGAAAATTTTAGTCTAAACAGAAAACCAACAGACATATAACACATTAAAATCCTACAGGGATTTAATCGAGACCTTTTTTGGTGCTGGGCATCAAACCCAGCACATGCTAAGCACACACTATTCTGAGCTACATCCCCAACCCCTAATGCAGACATAAAAATGACAAAGTCAAAAGAGAGAGGAAAAAAATTGTGTTTAGACTTAAAAATATTGGGTTCACTGTGAGCCCCAGTATGTAGACTCAAATGAATGGTTTAATCTTTGGAAATCTGAGAACTTCAATTTATCAGCTCTTTAAACATACTTATAATAAAAATGTGACTAGAAGTATGCTGTGAAGATTAATGCCAGAAAAGAACTGTAAGACTTATGTGTAATAGATTAAAAGGAATTCCAAATACCATAACCGTAAACTAATTAAAATTTAATGTTACCTAAAAATCACATAACTACCTGAGATAGAATCTCAGACATAAATTTTTAATTTATATTATATTTTGAAGTTTAAAAAGTAAGCTTTTTAGAAAAGCACTTGAAAACACATGAAAAAAAAATCATCTGATATTTAGCTTTTTCCTTTTGAAAGAATCCCTATGACTAAGGGCCTGAGAATAATTCTAGCTTGCATAAGCAAAATATTTCTTTTCAATCCTGAAAATCATTGACTTTATTTTATAGTAAGAGCCAAGGATGCAAACTCAGAGCTGCACAAATTTGGCTTCTCATGTACCATTTACCTGTCCCCACTCCCTTCTTCCATGACACTGGTGCAATGCTGAACACTATTACTCAAATAAACTATCATTATGGTGACTTAGTCTTATGGAAGCCAATTAAGGTGAAAATATTCTGCCAAAGATTCTTCCATTCAATAATGGTTCTACCACAAAAATTACCTTAAACAGCCCACACTTCTCCAGCATATTTGAGGTAGGGTCTCCATGTACGTGTGTATGCACAAAATGTGTATGGCATGAATCATGGAGCACAAATAAATTGTTAATTATTGTTGTTTAACCAACAAAGTATATTCATGAGAATTACAAAAATTATTTGTGTGCGATTCAATTAAGCCAGCGAAGAGGAAGCACGTCACATCTGCCCTAACTGTTTTGGCCAGTAGAAACAAGCCCAGTGATGGAGAATCAGTTTACACGTTTGGGAACAGAGAATGCTAGAAGCTGGCAGCTAGGAAGTGCGACATGGGTTGATACTTTGTGGATTCATATACTGCTCTCTCGTTTTTTATAGAGGAAGCCACATTCTAATTCCAGAGAAGAAAAATATCCTTCAGAGACAGAGGGTAACCAATACCAGAACTGCGGACATTACTCCACCTGTATTTCTGAAATAATTATAGATGTATCTTTCTCTTTTCCTGTATCTATAGTGAGGACATACTACCCAGTCCATACTGGGAGGGAGGTGGGTTGGGGATGTTCAGGGGACAGAGATATATTCTACCTTCATGGGTAACTGTATGTTTATTTTCATCCTCTGATGAATTCAACTAGTTTCTGTTCCTTGCTTGAATATAAGCCTAGGGTTCATTCACTGAGACTCATAAAACATGATAATACTGATACAGACATCTTGGCAAACTTTATTGAGCATCTCTTATGTAACGTTCACTTAGTTACCGTATCCAGTTAATGCTGCCATGTCTGTCTCTTGCCTTTTATACTGGAACCTTAGAAGGACTAAGCAATGTGCCCAGACAAGGCCATGAACCTTCTCTCTTTGACAGGGAGACCATGCTCTTTCTGCTGCACCTCTGTCTCCTGCTTTTCACAGAAGGATGCATAATAGCTCTTGGTACGTTGTGATGATAGTTTGATGCCTTATTGCTGCTTATGTAAATCTTTTTCCTAATAAAATCTAAAGACTAGGAAGATCAGTACAAAAATATTCATAGTAATCAAGGTGACCAATATTTAAAGGAAAATAAATAGGAAACAATGACCCTGGCCAAGGGCAATCATATGAACTTCATCAATCTTAATGGCTAAAAAAAATGTTCTAGTGAAAAGCAAGCTATTTTCTTAAAATAGCTTACTTTTCTTTCTTTTTTCAAATACAAGAGAAAACCATTTTTATTTCCTGGTTGTTATTTGCCATATTTATGAGGGCATAGATCTTATACCCTCCCTTACCCATTATCTGAAAATGATTTTCTACCCATCAAAAATACTTTGTTGAAAAAAGTGAAATTGTAATGTGGAAGAAAATGTTTTCTCAAGACAGCTTTAGGACATTGAAGTGCTTTAAAAATTATGTCATTGTAAGCACTCATTTTAGAAAAACATGTTCTAGAAGTTTAAGACACATTTCATATGCTCTAACTGAAGAATTATTACACTTTTGCCAACTTTGTTTTTACTGTCTGAATGACCAGCTGTCTCAGTGAAGGAGTCTGATGTTTTGCACTTTATTTTCCTGAAGATGACATAGCAACTACACAATGCTAAATAATCACTGGGATTAACAGAAGTTCATACAGAGAGTTTTGAGTCTAGGCTTATGGAGTAGGGAAAACTAGTTCAACTCCATTTTGCTGAGACCCTCATAGAAGTGCAAAATCTTTATTTTTAGGGAAAGCACATTTAAAATGCCACAAAGATGGATCACAAAACATAAAACTGCAAATATTAACTGTCTATTTCCTTGAAATATAACTTAAGCTTGGCAACTAGGACAAGAAAATGTCACATTCCTTTCTCTTGCAGAGGAAATTGCATGTTTCCTTACAAAAATAAAGAATATGCCCTCTTCAAAAAGAGAATATGTGACACTTTAAAGTTGTTTTGTTTCAGGTTAAAGACTTCTATAAATTTTCATGATTGTCTCAAAGGTGAGAAAAGGAAATAAATGGAGGAAAAAGCTAGACATTAACCTTAGGTATCAAGTTTTAGGTTTTACCAATGTCAAAAACATCTTGGGCCACATAATTTTCAAATCCATCTTAAAATGGACATACTTTCAAATTTTTGCTTAGGTTTTCCACCGTGATCTGCAATGTTCCAAACAGAAAGTTAATCCTCTGTACTTACCAGGATTTGTGAAGCAAAGAGGTATGTATTTTACTAAGCAGAAAATGGGTGTGCATGTTACTAACTGGAGCATCAGATCTGTACATAGTTAGCTATGGACGAGCTGCAGTGTGTGGTATATGGATAAAGAAGGCCATGAGTTTGGCTGAGGACATTATTTCCACTTGAGATTTGAGGGGTTCTGGAAAAAGAGTCTCTTTTGAAGTACAGATTAATCCAATTTCTTTCATTTCACTAATGTGAATGAAGGAAGAGTTGTAAGGGATTCATACCTATTTTCCATTTAATCCTCACATTGTTCACCTGGTAAGTATGTGGTAGGAATAAATGTACATAAGCATAAAGACACATGTATGTGTTGTTGTGTTTTCTTTTTTCCCTCATTATTAACAGTACAACAAAACTGTAGTACTAGAATGTGGCAAGTCTATTTAACTCCTAATTTTGCTTAAGAATGAAGACAGCTTGCTTCTGGACTCAGAAGGTTTTAACAGGTTCCTACTCTAAGAATAACTTTTGTTAACCAAGAAATAATACATATTAGTTTAACCATGACCAGAATAAACCAGGGTACCTTTTCTTTATCACAATACATGTTAAAAAGAGCATTTTTCCTACCCCATCTCTATATGAAAAATTAATGGTTATACCATACATATGGCTTATCAAAATAGAACCCAGTCAATATACTTACAGTGGAGACTTCTCAGTTTTTGACTAATGAGTCTTTAAAAATCAAACCAACTTGATCATTAGTACCATAATTTTCTGATATTTCAAAAGTATATAGTATTTTATAAGTGACCTCACTCACTTATAATTTTGTGACTGTAATGCTCTCCAAATTATAAAATAAATCCTAAATTCAATAGGACTTACCTTTTGTCCATTCGTCCCTGGAATTCCAGGTCCTCCAGTGGAACCCTAAGGAGACACACAACTGACCTGAGTTGATATCACAATCACAAAATATTTCAACTCTGAATTGATATTGTGTTAGTTATGTTAGCCCAAGCTTTATGTTGCTCACACATTTGAGAAATTATATTTTTCACATTTTAGCCATTGTGTTAAAATACATAATGTGGGCAGATTCTTCAAGCTTTCTCAGAAAGCACAGAGTTAATATTTAACCTTGTTTCTAAATATCCACTTAAGCCTACTATGATTTTAAAGAATTTTGTAACACAAACTGAGATCCATATCTATCAGAAAGCCACATGGCTCTAAGTTTTATTGTTAAGAAATAAATAGCCTTAGTTCCATCTGGAAAGAGTCTAGCAGTAGTAGAAACTCTTGAATTTCACAAGTTTAAATAACAGAAAACAAAAGGCAATTAAAATAACTACTTATTCCACAAGTAAATAAGAGACCCCCAACTCAAATCTGTTGCATTTGGAGCATTCCCCCCCTGGACTTTCAAGGAGTATGTTTAAGTCACATAAATGAGAACATGTCTTCCCAAATAGAATCAAAAAGGTGTACACATGTTATATGCTAACCAGGAACACACAACTTCTCAAATATCTCTTAGAAATTGCAGTATGTGTGCATACAAACTTGGGCACACATACATACTGCGGTGAGTGCGAGGGGCTAGACATAGATGGAGTGAGCTGAGAAGAAAACTAATTATTACCTGAGAGAATCCATGATAATTAAGTGGATACAAAAAGTAGTGATGTCATTTTCTTCCCTTATGCCTCCCTGTTAGGCTCTGGAGAAATCACTTTTAAGTACAATATGTTCATTTTTTGTTTACAACTAGAAATTTTTTTTCCTTAGATGTATTAAATTTCTTTTACAATAGTGAGGAAAGTTTTTTAATAGTTATGATAAACCTAAAAGTGCTCTTCAAAATAAGTCCACTAAAAAAAAAAAAAGGGTAATTATATGCAAAATAAATTGAGATGGCAAGTTCCTTAGTGCAGTTCCCCGATTCTATGGAGTGAGTCATTAAAGGGCTTCCCCAAGCCTGAAGTGGTAATTTTATCCTGGTCGAGTGTGGATTAGGGTAGCTTTACAATTTCACACTATGCTTAATAGAGACATTATTGCGAAGGACAAAGTGTTCCTATGCACAAATTGTCTCACATCTCATTGGGTTTTGCTTGGTTTGTAGGATTAGGTTTCAACAGATGCCACATGCCCGATGCTTGGGGGATAAAAAGTCTATATCTTTGATGGATTCCAAAGATAAAGAATAATCACTTTCCCACCTGTTATAATGTGATTGTTTTCTTTGGTTTTCTACAGGCTAAATGTTCTTTCTTTCCCACCCGCCCCCACCATCCCCAACAGGGTGGGAGGTTAGCTGGGTATGGGAACTTGGTGATATTTTGTTGGCAAAGGGCCATCTACCAGTTATTGATATTTTTCATTGTAGTATTGGTGTAATTTTAGAACTCTTAGGCCCTTCACAACACAACGAACAGTCAATTCAGATGACTGTGGGTAACACTGAAATGACCGCCAGAAAGTTACTTTTCAGGTAGCCTCAGGCAAAGGGGACACTTAGGGGGCCAAGCAATGCAGTGAACCAAGCAACAAACACACCATTTGTTCTTACCAGCTTTGTGGTCATCTGACAATTTTATACAGACCAAGGACAGCAATCAATTTGCAACGTCCCAGGATCCTTCACCTTGTAAGTCTTGTCACAATGTCTTACCAGATCTTGAATTAAAAAGTTAATAACCTACAAGTTTGGCAGACAGTTTAAAGAGAGTCAGCTCTGGATTAACTGAATACTCTATAGTGAAGTAATGAAAAACTTAATGGTGTGTTTTTAGAAAACAGAATGTATAAACCAGACTACTTCAGTATGGTTCATAGTAGCTAATTCCATCCACCTCTCTTACTCGCCATTGGCAATGGTAATATAATTATTTTCTCAGTATTATTGTATACTCTACCTTTTGTCCTGGAGGCCCCAGAGGACCCTAAAAAAAAAAAAGGGAAAAGACAATTAGCATAATAGTATTGCCATATAAGCTTAAATGACTAACAACTGTCTTATTCTGCAAGGTTCTTCTGCTGCACTGAAATGTACTGAAAGTGAAATTTTCCAGTTGGAAATACCAAATGGGTTTTTTTTTCCTATTTTCTTCTTTTTCAACAACCATCAAGCATCCATAGTAGGATTCTAAATTTTCCCTTGTCAAAAAAGATATTGGCCTTTCCAGTGCATTTCTTCAAATACCTGTCAATCTGTTACCTGTTGATCTCATTTGAGGGCTAGAGCAATCACTGCTAGAAGTAGTGAAAACACACTACAGTTCACCAGCAAATGGGCACAATCTCTGACTTCTGCCTCTGCATAACTCCAGTAAGCAGGTTTGCAAAGGGAGTCATTGAATAGCACTACCAAGAAACATGTTTTGTTCTACTTTTCCTCTTAGGAAATGTGGTCAGCTCACTGCACAAAAGTGTGCTTACAAACTAGGCCAAAACCAAGTGTGGCACCTCTTGCATACCCGAGAAGGGAACCATAGATGCTGAGGCTGTTGCTGAGGCTGTGATGCTGGGGGCGGGGAGCAGGGTGGAATCAATATTTAATGAGATGAAGGAGAATATTTACATAGAAAATGTAAATGTGACAGTTTTGAAACTGAGCAGTTTTTCAGTCCCAAAGTCAGTGTTGGGATTCTGTTGGTTTTATTTTGAACAAGGCATAGCTTTGGGACAGTGGAAAAGAACCCAGAGATACAACTGTATCTTTATGTCTTTATGTCTCTTTTAAAATGAAAGTATTAAATTCTTTCTTCTAGTTCTTTCAAAACTCTGTTTAATTTTAGCATGTTTTACTGATGTTAAAGACATTATCATTTCACATAAAAGCCCTCCTCCATTACCTTTAATGGCTAGCTTATTTTCATTGTGTAATATTTTAGTTAATCAGCATCTTACATTCATACTCTGCAACATTAAGTAAAGCACTAGCATGGTTCATTAGCAGAAGATTAGGTCATGCATTTTTTTAATTAAAAGTACACAATGCTTAGGAACGTTCAGTGAATCTGTTCTCCGTAGTTATTTTGTAACCCTCACAGGAAGACTAATTTCCTCCTGTAACCACCTCTAAGTTAGTGACAGTACACAGTGCAATACCACGTTTATATTCTCCTATTTGAATCACTCTACCGACCACCCAACTTTTCAGTGACTTTGTTTTCTGTGGATCTGTGGTCAAACATTCTCCCTACCTACCTCACTTCCTCTGTTCAAAATTCTGTTTTAGATTTGTGCAGAGAAAATGGAGACTTTCAGATGTAAATTCCCTCAACATCATGTCTCTCATCAAGCCAAACTCACCCTTTTCCTGAATCAGAGGCAGAGTCCTGCTCTTATCCAAGGCCAGTGCATCCGGGACTCTGGAATCCATCCTTGCCTCTGCCCTAGGGGATCTTTTCCAATCAATTACCACTACATCCGTATCAAAGTCTCCCCTTGTCCATGGTTCTTTCCCCTTAGCACATAAACAAGTTCAATCATTTCCTCACTTGAGTAAATTGTTTGGAAGTAAATGTTAATTCTAAGCAAGGGCTAAATTTGGAGGTTGTGATGAGAGGAGATCTGAGAATGAAGAAAAGACTTGGGTTTTATCATTGGCTAGGGTTCCATTTTCTAAGTGTGTCTAGGGGATTTCCCTTCTTAAAATGTTGATGTTAGAAAGGAAATCATATAACAGGGGTACATTAATTCACTGTTTAGACTGAGGATGTGTATGTTGCATTCACAAAGTTTCTTTCCATTGTAAAACTCACTTTGCCACTTGAAAAAATGTCATTCACTAAAATTGGATTTTTCATTACATTGATCTATAACTCTGGAAGGGACTATTTCAAATGAAAATAAAAGCAAATTTTACATCAAATATTTTGGCTAGAGACTAACATATCTGTTTTTTTTCTAATTTGGGCTCTGTTGTATGAGCATATCAAGCCAGACATTTAGAAAGACTAATCATAACTCAAAATATGTAACATAATTTTATGGATTTCAATGTGATAGTTAAGGAATACTGAAAAAATTATAAAAGAAAAAGCATCTTTTCTTTCACTTTTAGAAAACTAGTGTTATTTTTGGTAAACTCCAAAAAACAAAAGTAGCTCTTAAGCTTTAATTTTACTTTTGAAAATTACGGATAACTGTCTCAGAGATTATTCACAGCTCTGCGGCCAAGAATATATATATTCTCAGCTACCAAAAACATACATAAACTTCTTTGATCTGCTGGCAGATAAAAATGGTATGGAGCCAAGGAGGTGACTGAGAGGGGAGCTGAGTTGAATCCAAGGCACAAACATTTGAGTAAGTACAAACATACATAAACACACACACACCAGTTATTTTACTGAACAAGATTCCTCTTATATGTATGTGTTTTAAGTATCCTTAAACTAATAGTACTATTATATTTCTATGACGTTGTGGTAAGTAAATTTAAACTCACAAATTAAGGTCTCCCTGTTCAAAAACAGATTTTTAAAAATTAGGGTATGGTGCCACCAGTCAGTTAAAATGTGTACTTTTGGTCAGTTTTGTGGTTTCTGGAATATCAGTGTATAAAGTAATGGGAAAGAATCACAGAACTACTAACTTAGCTAATCTTAAACTTATTTATACTTTTAACCTGCATAATGGCTTAGATAAAAGATGTGAGAACTTCATTATTCACTAGTGAAATTAATGCTTCTTATTTTCCCTAAAATTAAAGTTCAAGTAATTTGAGATTTCTAAAATGATTTCAATATTGTTATCCTCATGCTTCATAAATTGGGATCAAATAGTTTTCAAAGCAGTTACAATCTTTTTTGGTCCATTTTTATTAATCAGTGAAGTGTTCCTTTTTAGACATTTTCTTGGCAGGCACATGTATAATTTGCATATATTTTGCATATGACCAACATGGAAATAACCTAATTCAATTTTTTTGAGATAATTTCTATGTTTCAGGATTAGAAATTATGCAACAAAAAAACAAAACTGTGCAACATGTAGAATCTCAACATATTAATCTATGTTTCCTTAAGTTTAACTCCAGAAATGTCAACAAGAACTTGAACCTTAAAATATACTCATCTCAATATAGATTCTGGTTGATGTAAAATGTATGAAATTTTCATTGAGGAATTTTGCCTAGTGGACAGAACCCTATTCAAAAGATAAAAAAAAAATTGAAAAATTCTAAGTGTGGAGTACAATACCAGGAATGTGCACACAAACCTAGTCACAAAAGTTTTATCTACCAAAAAAAGATCATGGAGAACTATGCAAAAGAAAGCTCATGCAGAAACTTGCAAACAGGTAAGGAATTATTAGTGCACTTGGTGTTCTTTCCTGTTTCCTCCACCCCTGCTAGACTCCATTGCTAAAGATTATACTATATCCAGTATATTCTAAGCAAGTGAGTGAAAGAAATACGATAGTTCCCGTGTTGGTGACCATCTTCAGCAAAGGCCTGGGAATGCTCCATTTCTCCTCCTGCTGAGCCCATCAGGGATTTAAACTTCTCTCTCTAGCCCAGCCCTTCCCTCAGCTTCTTTGCTATACTCTTGTTCAAGCTCTCTTCTCTCTTATCTAACTAATGTGACCTCCATCTATTGGCCACTACTCCTGTCTTTCACTGCTTCCTGAATGAGCTTCCTAAAATGCTAAAGGGTCCTACCTCTGCTTAAGCATCCTTTAATGGCTTTTTGTAGCTTTTAAAGGACCCAAGCTTTGGTAATAGTTGTAGTTCACCCAAATCCACACTGTGAGGAGAGGTCCCCTTCTTTTGTATTCCCAAGTACACAGATGATAGGACTTTTTAAAAATAGAATTCATCTACATTACTGTAATATCATAAATTATTATGAAGGTTCTGTCTATCTTTATTCTGAACACCTCTTACCATGCACAGAAGCTGCCACATTGTAAATGATCAGAGAGTTATACTGAATCCATCCATTTATTCACTCACTTAATACTAAAGTGTCTACTGAGTCCAGGCACTGTTCTAGGTGTGGGAGAGACAGCATCCAACAAAATAAGATGGAACTATATACCCTCACTGGACTTTCCAGTGAACAGAGAAAGTACACAAATACACTCTCAAGCTGTGCCAGGTGGTAAGTGCTGAAGCAGAGGGAAGATGGGAATAGGAGAAACAGACGTGGAAGTATTTTAAACATGGTGGGGTGGGGTGGTGGTGAAGGCCTTGGTGATAAAGTGACTCTTGAGCAGAGCTGAGGGGTCAGGCACACGACATGCATTCAGAAGGGGGACACCAGGTGCAAAAGCCAAGAGTTCAGAGCATGGGAGATGTGTTCAAAGAACACCAAGGATGCTACAAGTGAGACAGCAGGAGATGGGGAGATGAGGGGGGAAGGTTGGAGATTGCATTTGTATGGCCTAGTAGTTTGAGTATGACAAAAATTATAGAAATTACTACAAAAATATGCATGCAGTCAATCAAGTTGTTTTTTTCTTATACCTTAGATAATAGTGTCTCAAGAAAGGAAGAAATGGCAAGTTTTTTTTTACCTTTTGAGTCACTCTAAGACTACTGGTTTATTACAATAGCATCCTGATTACTGGAGCTATTAAATTACTCCTGTGTGGAAGAATTAAATTCCTTACTTCTACAGTGCAATAAAGCAAAAGCTATCTTTGTTACACTATATCATGAAAACTGAGAGTATTGTGCAGAAGTCATTCTGCAAATTATAGATGGAATTATAAATCCAAGTTAATCTTCAAAGCAAGGAGTTAAGAAATCATCATGCATTGGTTATACTTTCCAGTTTATATATTTTTTAAAAAATTTTTTCCTTGATAGATCATGGAATGGAAACAAATTAATGATTTTTCTGACACTACTGATGTTAGCATAGATTTGATTGAGGTATTGATTACTTAAACAGGATGCAGAGTTTCTAAATGATGTGCTTTGGGATGC